AAAGAACCTTCCCCACTAAAGCATCTTGTACCTGGATTTAAGTATTACCAGTTGCCATGTGAGGGAAATACTTATCCTGGTTTCCTAATAATAATATTAAGAGAGATGATACCATATTTGAGGAAGGCTTTTTAAATTATAATTACTTTGACTTATTCTTTTTTAAATTACTGGGTTTTTTTTAAGAGGGGGTTTAGTTCCCCCATCAGTGGAAGTGTACTGATATGTACTATGTATAGGGAGTTAGGGTAGCTAACATTTCTATCATGCTAAACATATTAAATTTTTTTTATATTAGCTTGTGATAGTTATACATATTTATGGAACCCAGAAAGATATACTTACCCATGTTTGTGATATACGCTGACCAAATTAGGTCAATGTATATCAGGAATTTTCTATATTCCTGTCTTCGGAGACTTTGAACATCTCATATCTAGTTCTTCATAAAATAAGTACTAGGTTACTGTGAGGTCCTGTCCCATCCCTCCTCTACTGTGGACACTAGAACCCATTCCTCTGCCCAAGTGTCAGTGGCTGCTACTCAACCTTCCTCTACCCTAAGAGGCTCTTGTCCTTTTCTACTTGGAATCTTCTTTCACTCAAAAAAGAACATTTTGATAAAAAGTTTATTAATTTTTTATGTGTATTAGTGTTTTGGCTGCATGTATATCTATGCACTGTGTTCATGCCTCATGCCTAGAGAGACCAAAAGAAGCCATTGGATCCCCTAGAACTGGAGTTACAGATGGTTGTGAGCCACCATGTAGGTGTTGGAACTTGAACTTGGGTCCTCTGGAAAAGCAGCCAGTGCTTGTAACCTCTGAGCCATCTTTCCAGCCACACCCAAGAAATTTTCATGTCACTTCAAGTATATAGGTATATAAAATAAGTATACAAATTAACTATTTTCTAATAGTAATAACTTTCATGAAGAGCTTTATCATAAAATAATTCCATATACATATAATTTTATGAGCTATTGAAAACTAATGCAAATGTTCATACTAATGAGATGGAGAGATGTATTTTTATGTAAAGAAACAAACCTTGCCTGAATACTTGATGCTGCAGGGCATAGAGCATCTTCAACACTTTTCATGATTGATCAATATTTTTATAATTCTCAATAATAAGAATACTACTTCACACAAAACTTAAGTATTAAACACTAGACCTATGTTTAGGACCAGATGTAGAAATTGTTAGAAATATCATCCTAATCCCAAGCCCAAAATTCATTTAATAATTTTTTTAATGACACTCAAGTCAGCAACTCAAACAGCAGTTTTTAAAATCCAGCATCCCAACATGTGAGAATCCAAAGATAATTTGATTCTTGTACTAGAGGAAGGATGATAGTAAGAGAGTGCCCGTTTCCCACAATGAAACCATATGTATCTGCAACAGCACAAGATTCTGTATATGCTTTATAATCTGTGACAGTTTTCTGTCTGAATTGCAACGTCCCACGCACTGTTTGCCGGTACAGTGTGGGGTGGTAGCACAGGCAGTGGACGTGCAGGCTGGGTGTTAGAACCTCGGCTGCAGGCTCATGAGCGGTGTGACACATGAGCAAGGGCTGCCGGAGACATCTCTGATTCGCCTCATCTTTGCTTTTTGAATCCTGTTTTGGCAATTGCACATTCATAAACCTTTCACGATGGGCAGAGTTTTTATAACCCCCATCTTCAGTTACAAGACCCCTTATGGGGCCATGACCCACAGTTTAAGGAGCTGTGCTCTTATGCCACTGTTGTGTTTAAGCTTTCATTATGCCATGTGTGCTGCTAGCACTGTCAACTTATATATTTTATTAGTATAACATATGTCACTGCATTATGCTCACCTAATAACAGTCAATCCAAAATCCATCTTGTCATTACTCAGGAGGCATTGCTCACTATGAGGACAGCTGCCATCACAGATGTCCCATTTATGGCTCCATAAAATGCTTTCAGGTCTCTCGTTTGCAAAAGAAATGCTTGCTGACTAGATTCTGTGCATCTCTCTGATGCGTAACTTGACAGGTTGTCTCCTCTCAAATGGTTTTAAGGTCAGAGGCCCTGGCTCTTCCTCCACAGTATACATCCCAGCTTCTGGAAGCCCCATGCCAGCATGAGCCTTAGGCTTGCTTCTTCAAGCTGCCAATTTGTCACAAACTCCAAGCTTGAAGTCAACACACAGAAAATGACTGGATTTTAATGACCTTTTTTCTCCAAACAGGTTAGACTGCATTGGACCGGTAACCCAAGGAGGTAGCCAAGAGGCATGTTTTTAAGCAAAGCTATGTTTCTTCCACTGGCTCTCTATTGGGTCTGCAAATATGTGATAGGCCTCCTCCCTGGAAGGTCCTTTTCTCTTCTACCTACATTCCCTTCTCCCTGCAGGAAAAGTAGGAACTGGTGTCTGTGGCTCACATATAATGAAGAGGAGAGGGTGGCCAGGATTTGATGTCTTAAAACCCTTTAGGGTTTATGTGGAAGGCTGCATAGAAATTTAAAGGCTTGCTAGAAACAGTGGCTCAGTGCAATGGAAAGATTTTGTCTAGGTCCCCAGTAAAAAAAATTCTATTCTAAAATGATGTTTTTGAGATAATTGGGAGAAAATTGAATATGGACTAGGAACTAAATTATTTTAAGTAGATTCTTCTTAATCATGTTAGTATAATAATGCGGTGATTCTGTTTCTAAACTACTACAGTGTTTATGTCTAGAGTCTGAAGTGTTTAGAAGTTGCTTTTAAAACATTTCAATGGTCTCTTAAAGTGAGAACAGAAAAGATAAGTGAAACTATAGCAGCCAAATGTTAGTAGACATTGAAAGCAGACATAGAGAGCCACTCTACAAGTCTCTCAACTCCTGTGTATAGTTTTCAAAGTTTAAATAAAATTACAGTAAAAAGAGCATACCACGGCGCTCAGTTCCCACCGCTTTGGCGGTGGGGCTGTGTAGGCCCAAGCTGCAGCTTGTAATTTACAATAAAAAGACCCTCATGTGTTTTGCAACGGAGTCGATTCCTGTAGATCTTTTGGGGGCTCGCAAACTAGGTATAACATTTGGAGGCCCCACTGGGATTCTAGGGCCCCCCAAGACCTCAGGACTGATCCGGAGGGTCTCATACCAGCTGCAAGTCCCGAAATCCTGGCAGTAGCTCCCCCAAGGTCTCCGAGAAGATTTGGGCACAACGACAGATGACTGCGACTCTGGATTGTGGTATGCTAACCACTGGGCAACACTGCCTCAACTGGCCCACTGCTAGGGCCCAGCCTAAGCTGTGGACAAAGCCGGGGACATCTGAAGAGCCATTGTCTCACATTGTGAGAGGCAAGATTTTCACCTGTTTAACTCTGTTCCGGGATCAGCTGTGGACTGCAAGCTGAAATCTGGATTTCCTGGAAACTGACCTGATTGCTCCCTGCCTCTTCGGGTGGATCAACTAACCAGATGCTTGGGACTGCCCTATTGCCCAGCCTTTGACTGGCATTTCAGCCTCCCTAGCCCCTGATGCCTACGGTCCAACGGTCAGCATCGAGGAAGCTCCAGAACACAGATCTTCGCCCAAATCCCCCCTAGCAGGCTGAAATGCTAAGTCAAAAGTGGCTCCCTGGCATTAGCTATTATCTTGGGCATCTGCTTAGCTGAAATAAAAACTAATATTGCAGCAACTGGGCTAAAAGCCTAGAGAGACCCTAGAAAAAAAGGATAATAGTTCTCCTTGGCTTACTACCCCTATATCTACCCTGAAGGGACCCCTACTCATTTTGATTTTTATTTTTGGGGCCTTGTATTTTCAATTACTTAATGGCTTTCATAAAAAAAATGCTTGAGCATTACACTAATGGTATTCAGATCCCATTATAAAAAGGTAAATCTATAAGATACAAGGGGTCATGTCTGGAAGACCCAAGATTGGGTCTTCAAATGATCATGGGAAAGGGGGAAATGAGAGACCAAAGTGACAGCTCTCGTTAAAACCTAGAGTAGGTGCCTAGGTGCGGTAAAGTAGTTAGTAATGGCCTGAGGGGAGAGCTACCTCGCTGCATTCTTTCCCCACCCACTAGAGATACGGTTGCTAGGAAACTGGACCATCCCCCTAGGGAGGGAGACCTGGTCATTAATGGCCTGGGAACCTTCCTATAGCCAATCGATTCAAAATGTAGCATTTTGACCAATAGATGCTTGCCAGGCAGGAATTGCCCCTGCCTTGGATATGCTGGGAGGGACCAGAATCTATAAATCACCCAACTAACCTGGGCACGGGCGCTCAGTTCCCACCGCTTTGGCGGTGGGGCTGTGTAGGCCCAAGCTGCAGCTTGTAATTTACAATAAAAAGACCCTCATGTGTTTTGCAAAAAAAAAAAAAAAAAAAAAAAAGAGCATACCACTGTTGGCCCCAAGAGGAGCCCGCCCCAAGCTGCTGTGGCCTGGAGAATGCAGCCCCATGTACACTGTGGGGGGCCGGTCTAGGTTGGAGTCTTTTCACATACATACTCAGCCCAAGCCAAGCTTGAACTCCCACTTCTGCGTGTCAGGGGGATGGCAAACCTCCTATGTCTGTGACAACGATCTTGAGCTGTACTGTTCTAAGTAGAATATAGAATGATACCTTCTTTAGCCTCTTGTACACACTTGCCTCCATTTTTCTCGTCCTTGTACCCTTTAATTTTTTTCTGTTGGTCAGCTTTCTGGCGTTGATGAAATACCAGAGATAGTGACTCCGTAAGGATGAAAGGCTGAATCACTCACAGAGTCAAAGGCCGAAGTCCTTGGTCCTTTGGCGGAGTCACATGGGCCTTTGGCAAGGCGACATAGGTCAAGTATCAGGGTGTGTAGTTACGTTGCTTATAAAAGTGCAGAAGTTTAATTGTCATCAAGACCAAGGGCTCCTGGGCTGGACTGTGGCTCAGCTGGTAGAATGCTTGTCTGTGATCACGAAGCCCTGGGTCCAATCCACAGATCACATGGGTACCACATAAAATAGATGTGGTCACACATGCAAATAACCCCAGCACTTGGGTGGTAGAACAGAGGGATGGGGGGGGGGTGTCACTCCTTAGAGCCTGAGTACTCAGGACACTGGGGTGAAGGCTACTCTCAAAAGCATGTTTTCTGGAAAAATGCAGGCAGGGTTCTAGCTTATATCTTGCCTTCTGGTTACTGTCACCTCCCTACCCTCTGCTATTTTCCTCCCACACCTGTTAGTCCACTCGCCACTTCCCCTACAAGTCCCTTCTTAGATCCATGTCTGCACTGACGTTCTTGTTGACTCTGCAGAGAAGGCAACGAAGGGAAACTCAAAGAGAGGGGGCATTATCCTAGCCAGTATTACAACTTCCTGGGACCTAAGAATAACCACACATTGGATGCCTTAAAATAAAGCCAGACACTTAAAGCCTGACATCAGATTGTTAGAGCCATTCTCATTATGCTTGATCTATGACAAATCCTTGCTTGCCTCTTAATTCCTCGTGGTAGCCAGAAGAACTCATCTTGTAGGCCAACCGTGCCAATCTCTGCCTCTGTCTTTCCTCACATGGCCTTCTAACTTATGTGCGCCTTTAATATGTTCTTATAAGAGCAGCTATCATTAGAGGTATGGCCCAACAGAGTCCATCATAATTAATTACATAGGCAAAGACCCTGTTTCTAAGGTCATACTCTGGAATTCTGGGTGTGCGTGGAGAATGCTAGCCAACTCGCTGAAGTTACTGGCCGGGAAATGATTGGGTTTGAGCAGATAGTTTGTTAGAAATTCAGATCAGGCAAGGATGAGACTGAGAGAGATGTTGAACACTAATTTCATATGCTCAGCATCTGTCCTGTGGGTAGAGACGGCAGTGTGAGAGCTGACGCTTTCACGGCTTCAGCTGCATGCCAGACATGGGTTCTGAAATATCCATGCGCTATTACTATTATTTCAACCTAGGAACAGCTGAGCTCAGGGAGCCCAAATGCAAGAGCCATGTTCAGAAGGAAACAGGGTTGTGATTTAGATGGAGGCATTTTCTGGGGCTTCCATGTTCCTGTTCCCTTTCCCAGGCTGTGTGTGTCCAAGAATATCTGACCAGAAGCATGCAGAGTGCCTTCTCCCATAGACGCTGTGAGGCAAGCTAAGTAGGAACTGTTCAACTTTAATTTTCCAAAACTGCGGCCACTGCCAGAAGAGCAAGGGAGTGCCTTCATCTGATGTCAGTTTCTAACTAACGTCAGGATGGAAGATCTCTTTTCATTGCTTGAGTTCTACTGTCCCTGCCTTGTTTTTGTTGTTGCTTTGAAAAATCGTGGGAAAATACAGGGATTTTGAAGTATAATTTGTGAAGTTTTTTTTTAAAAATAAATTTTAGTTAAATTTGTTCTTTGACAACTTTATGCATGTATATAGTATGTGGCACATTCTGGTTACTCTTACGGCGGCGTCCCCACCTCTTCTGCGTCCCTTCCACCCCTGTCCTCCACACCCACTTCCCTACATTCACGTCTTTTGTTTGGCTCCACGACTCACTGAGTTGAACCAGCGCTGCCTATGTGACTGTGGAATTGGAACTGTCCATTGCAGTCTGGTGGGCTCTTTGATAGGTATACAGCTGAAGTCAATAACCTCCCCTACCCAGAATCCAGCGGATCCAGTAGTTCAGCAGGGAGAGGTAGAGCCCATGAGTCTCTCCACATCCATGATGGATTAATGGTAGGCCCAGCAGAGGCAACCCCAGCTGCTGTGGGATCCTGCTTGCCACGGCTGTCAGACCCAGAAGATAGCGTTCTGCAGCTCTTACTCCTGTCTTCAGGCTCACGCAGTTCTTCCAGCCCTTCTTTTGTCATGTTCCCTGAGGCTTAAATTTAAATGTCCCACTTAGGGCTGAGCACACGACTGTCACTTATTCTTAGCACCTACAGCAACCAAGAGGGTCTGCATTTGCTACCAGCCACTGCAACTGAAAGATTCTCTGATCGCAACTGAAAGTAGCACTTGTCTGTGGGTATAAGAATAAATATTTAGAAGGCAAGTTTGTGGCTGTGTCAATTCAGTCACAAAGCAATCGTAAGTTTCCTCGTTTGATCGATGGGAGTTTATAGAGCAGACTCCCCTATAAGTTATTTCACACGTCGGCTAAGCCATCCCCTTTTCTCAGCTGCATCTAGAATGAATAGGTGACACCTGATAAATGCCTGGGCTCACCCACCCTGTTCTCTAGCACTGTTCAATCAGAGTTAACCAGTCATCTGGTTTTTTGGGTTTGGTTTGGTTTGGTTTTCTGCCTCAGGATTAGGGGATTTCCCAGCATACAGGATTTTCAGTTTTAAAACCAGAAGAGATTAACAAATATGAACATATTGTCCATCTTATCTACATCCTCTAGTACTATATACTTCCAGCAACGTCTCTCTCTAACAGAGGTGACCTCTGATAGCCCCAGGAGGTGGGGGCAGAATATCTGCCTGGATTGTCATCCTGTAGCTCGGAGACCCCAGGGGTGTCTTGATCCCGCAGTAGGATGGCGGAGAGGTGAGAGTGAGCTTTGGAGTTGTTGAGAATGGATCCTTTCTCTTCCTTTCAGGGGAAGAAGAGGAGGAGGAGCCTGAGATGCCTGTGGGGCCACGCCCCCGGCCCCTGTCTGAGCTGCACCTTAAGGAAAAGGCAGTGCCCATGCCGGAAGCCAGCGCATTTTTCATCTTCAGCCCAAACAACAGGTGGGTAAGGACGGCGGGGAATGAGAAGTCCGCTTCCTCCTGGATCCAAATGCCTGTAGCCAACCTACAGAAGCCTGGGTGCTCCTAGATCCCCACAGCTTATATGGAGACAGTCTGTTCTGGTTTTAAATTGAGAGGGTCCTGGGTTGTAAATCAGATGGGCTGCAGTTACTTCTCTCCCCAAGTTTGAATTGTGAAGTATTCCTGCTCGGCCAGCGGTTGCCTTTCACACTTCACTGAATCCATTTACCCTAAGATACTTAGGTTAAATAGTACTGGTTAGAAAGACTGAGGGGACAGGCCCCTGAGGCCCGGGCAGTACCTCATCTTTCCTGACACGTCTGTCCTCTTCCTCCCTCCCACACAGGTTCCGCCTGCAGTGCCACCGCATTGTGAACGACACGATCTTCACCAACCTCATCCTCTTCTTCATTCTGCTCAGCAGCATCTCTCTGGCTGCTGAGGACCCCGTCCAGCACACCTCCTTCAGGAACCATGTATGCACTCTATTTATCCTCTGCACCCTGTCCTTCTGAGAGTGGAGCGGGCCCACAGCTTGTGCTGCTGACTCCATTGCTCAGTGAGGAGGCCTGCTATGAACCTCACGATCCGTAGACAGTGACGGTTCCCTTAAGAGATTAGGATTTTGATAGAAAACCCAGCCTCGGAGCTTTCACTAAGCAAGTGAGCATGTGCCCAGATGCATTTGGCTGGTTGATAATAGACAGTGGTCAGGCATCTTGTTGCCTGTGGATGTTCCCCAGGAAACTCAAGTTGCCTATAAGTCAGCCATGTGGCCACTGGTTTCAAGGCCTGCTCCCATTTCCTCTGACCAAGAAAAACCATTGGCGATTAGGTGTCAGTGGTAAGGCTGACATTCTCAGAAAGAGTACTGTGATAATCTTCAATAGAGTAAATCTGTTTGGAGCTTCAAAAGGCTCTGGTGATCAATATTAAATACTAAAATAGGAATCAGTATGCCTCAAAACCCCAAAGCCTTATTAAATCTCAGCCACATAGACATGAAGAAAAGAGCCACTGCTCTGAAGCTGCATCCATAATAAACAAAGTTCTCAGCTCTGGGATCCTGCCGGCCCCAGGCTGTCTTGCTGAGGTCAGCAGGAGTGGCCTCAGCCATGGTCCATTTCCTAAGATGGACTCAAGTATCGATGCTATAAGCTTGTCCTCAGCCTGGGCTGACCTGGAGGACTTCCTTCCTAGGTCCCAAGGCCATGACAGCAGTATAAATGTCCTCCTCTGGCACAGGATGCCACATCCATGTGAGAGCTGAGCATCTGAGTAGCCATGAAAACAACAAACCCATTCTCTGCTCTTTTGCCCAACAACCCATGGAGTATTCTGGGTTTGCAAGTAAATTGGGTTGATGTGAGAAGCATCCAAACAGATGCTGCTTAGACCCTGTTCCTGCTGAGGCCTGCCCTGGAAGCTCCCCGCTCTGGCCTGCAGACATCACACTAGGCCAGAGCCTCCTATGCTAGCCCTGAGTGGGAGCCAGTGTCTCTCCTACTTGTCTCACCTGTCTCCATGTAGAAATGCTCTGGTGGTGTGGGGGGAGGAACACCTTGTTTTGAAGTGCTTTTCCTTTTCTGGTGAACATCCACTGACCTCCCCCCCCTCCGCTTGTGTCTGCCCTCCCTCCCCCATCCTATTTGTTTTTGTTTTGCAGATTCTGTTTTATTTTGACATTGTTTTCACTACCATTTTCACCATTGAAATTGCTCTGAAGGTAACACCCCATCTCCCTCTCTCTTCCTTCCTCTCTCTGCCAGTCCCAGCTCTCTGCTGCTGTCTGTCTTGTTGCTAACACATGCTCCTGTTGGTGTTGGGTGCACTCTCAGAGCCACTAATCCAATTCTGCTTATTTTTCAGATCCTAGGCAATGCAGACTATGTCTTCACTAGTATCTTTACATTAGAAATTATCCTTAAGGTAATGCCCCCTGAGCCACGTGTCTCTGTCTTTCTGTGTCTCTGCTCTGTCTGGCTGACTCTTCTGTTTCCTTCACTCTCTAACTCTTGTGTCCTCACCTCATGCTGTCACTTTGTCCCAGCTCAGATGCCAGAAGAAGGGACCTGACCCACCACACCGCTCCCTTCTGCTCACTAAGCAGCAGTCCTAGGCCTAGGAGAGTCACACACAGGCTGTGTCACCGTGGGTGCTGTCCCATTGCCGGCTGAGCATGGTGGCTGTCAGCAGTGCTCAGTTTGGATGCACCTCCTCCAATCAGCTGGTGGCTGAGCCCTCCTTGAAATTCTCTCTCCCTCCTCCTGCAGAGAGGAAACACCCCACACGCTCTAGAAAGGCAACACCTCTGGAGCATGAAGGAGTCACTTTGGCCCCTCTCTTCGGAGGCTTATCATCAACACCTGTCTCAGAACCAAGGCAATCATAAGGGCTAAGCAGAAGTGGGGGCCTTGTGACAGTAATGGAGGCAGGATTGGGAGCCAGCATCCCAACCAGATTATACAGCCAACGACTAGAGATTATCTCTAAGCCTTTGTAACCTGGAAATCAGCAACTCCCGTGAAAGGTCTCATTACAGGTTGCCGAGTGTATGTCTGCACCTGTAAACTGATGTGTGACCTTGGCGGTCCACCTGGGCTATACGACCTTGGGTAATGTTGGCTTCCCTCTGAGCAATGGGGAGATTTTCACCCTTGCACAGAACAGAAAGATCATTGTCCCTGAACACACAGGTTTTAGTGTAAGCATCGTCCTGGGACACTTGCCTAGGACACCCTCTCCCAAAAAGCTCAGGCCTCTCTTCAGATCATCTTTAGGTAGATACAAGCTGATGTCCAGTCTGAGTGTGTACCAGTACCAGCTACAGACCTTTCTTTTTCCTGACAAAACCCTCATATCATGCCCAGCTTTTTAGTGGGCTTGACATTTCTGTCTCATCCAGATAAAAACTTGAGTTGAGAAGTTTCTGTATGCCTCCCGGGATGTCCTTAGACCTCAGAGGCTCAGGTGTGCTGGACCCTAGCTTCCCTTGCTCGCCAACTGCATGGCTCATATTTTTCTTTCCTGCTCAGAGAGAGTAGAAAGGTGACAGAGTCCCTTTCCATGGTGAGCTGCTTTGCTGTTACACCCTGGACTCAAGGTCACAAGCAGGTACTAGGAGATCTTTCCCAGGACAAGAAAATCTCTGAGGCCCAGTTCTCAGGACCCCATGCCGAGCTTCGCTTGAGGATTTCAATGGTGCTTTCTCCTTAGGATTGCCATGCAATCAGAAATGAAAGTCTCTGCAAGCATTGCCATGGCAAGCCCTTCCCCCTCACCATACTTCTTCCTTCTTCTGCTTCCAGTCTCTCTTATGCTCGCTGTGCTTCTGAATACCCCTCCCAGCATTCCCCCCACTTCCCATGCCTCCCACACCTGGGTTTGTCTGCCCATCTGGGAGGCCCTGTATCATGCCAAGGCACTGGCTGTGAGGGTGCCCAGAGCCTCAGTTGCTGTAAGGGACTGTTGAAGGGTCTGGGGCCATTTGTCTTTAAAAGGTCAGGACAGGTAGTAGCACACTAGTTAGTCTAAATAAGGAACAGAACTGTTCCACGGAAGGAAAGCAGACTCAGGACCAGCTATGGTAATGACAAATGTGAGGAGATGGTTTCTCCCTAGAGATACACCTTGAGAAATGTGGTTGTCTGGGATCGGATGGTAGGAGACAGTTTCCCCTCCTGTTCAAAGAAATTTGGAGTTTGTGTCTCATTCCATTCCTTTCTCAGTAGATGGGTGCTTAGTCCCAGGCCTTTCCTGATAAATAGCTTGAGGCTTCCTGGAAGCAGGGACCAGCTGGGTGACAGTCAGTAGCACAGGGTAGAAGAAAAACAGTTGTATAGGTACCTGGACCTGGCTTTTTCTGGTGCCATGAATGCACATAGTCTTCAAATGAATGTTCTCTCTTCTAGGTATCTACTTGCCCTTTCTCGTAACCATTCTTACTCTGATCTTGCCAGGGCACATGTCCATTGCTCCCACCCAACATTCTCATGCTTTCTGAAGGGCTGGTCTACTTCTGGGGTCGGGGACAAAACAAGTCCAAAGTCAAAGAGACAGAACTGTGTGATGAGCCACTCTGTCCCCCTGTCTAAAACTTTATGGTGAATATGAACTGTAGCAGCCACTTAATTCCACTCTCTGGGGTCCAGGTCCTCACAGAAACATAGGGCAGTGAGCCCTCCAGATTGTAGTCTATGGGAGAGATCTATAGCCATATTACCCCTTTTATGTACTCTCCCCACTTCTAAAAACTGCTGCACAACACAGCTTCCCGAGTCCCCTGCAATCTCCTGCTGCAGGAGATAAATGGAAAGAATTAGGTCGCGAGAGCTATTTTTGCCAATTTCCCCATGTTGGCTTTTGTATTGGTCGTTGGGTGTACCACCCTGGACACGCTCTGATTCCAAAGAGAAAATCTGGACTCCAGATGACCAGGAAACTTCTCTTGGTCTCTCAACCATCAGTTCCAGATTTTTTCTTGGGCAGATGCTTCATGACCCATAGCCTTATCCAGGCTCATCCTGGGTAGCTGGAGACCTTTACTTCCTTCAGCAAAGTGCGACTATACAGAGTACACAGTTTGTTACAAGCACAGGAGGCAACATTAGTCAGATCCTGTAACAATAACTGTCACCTTACATGTTCTTGTTTTGAACATTTTTCAGAGAACGTTCTCTTTGCTTTGCTGTCTGACCCTCACAGAAACACGAAATATCACGCATGCTTTATAGATAAGGACATATTCTTCCTTTGTACGGGGAAGAATATAAATTTCGAACCCAAGTTATAGTGAGAGAACACATCTCTGGGGCTTGCCACGTGCAGAGGCGTGTCCTAAGTGCTTTATGTATAATTGTTCCACTGATGCTCACAATCCATGGGCCAAGTGGTGCTGTTATCTCAATGTGCAGAGGTGGGAAATGAGTCACAGAAAAGTTCATTTTTCACATGAAGCACATGAAAGGTAGTAGTATTGGGATCTGAGTAGAGGTCATCTGCTTCAGAGCCTGTATTGTGTACCTCTGTACCACCTTGCCCCCTCTGGACATAGCTCCTCCTCTAGATATAGTCTAGAAAGCAGACAGTAGCACTGAGCCTATACATTTCACAGAGAGCTTCAGCACCACTGAGACCAAGGCATAAAGAGAGGCTAAGGACGGTTATTGGGTCAACCCAGAGGACTCCAAAGGAAGCTGACCAGTTTGCCTAAGACAGAGATTTTCTAGGGTGTGGGATTCTTTCAGTGGCGGAGCCAATTACATCCTAGAGAAATCAGGATGGTTGGACACCCACCTGGGTATGTCTCATCCTTCCCTTGATGCCTAGTGTCTCAGCTGGCCCTGAGGGTAAACCATGGAAAGGAGGTTAGGAGGTGCCCACATAGAGAAAACATAACCTATGACGAAGCAGCAAAGGCCCTGAGGGCTGGAGCCACGTTGGCCTGGGCCTGAAGGACAGAGGAATGTTAGAGAATGTTAGAGGAGTGTGATGGTGCCAATCTGAAAGGGCTTTGGGTTGAAGAACCTGACACGTGTCCGGAGCTGGGGAAGTTCTTCGGTGGTTGAATGGATGGCTACAGAGTTTCTTGGCACTGCGTCACCTTCAGTCCTTCCTGCTGTCCCTGTGCAGTGCTTGGGCTCTCCCCTGGGGTCGCTGACGCTGTAGGCAGGAAAGCATGGTGTCTGGCTGCTGCCTCTGAAGCCTAGGCAGGTCACTCACTCCTGTTCTCCGCCTCCCTGCAGATGACTGCTTACGGGGCCTTCCTGCACAAGGGCTCTTTCTGCCGAAACTACTTCAACATCCTGGACCTGCTGGTGGTTAGCGTGTCCCTCATCTCCTTTGGCATCCAGTGAGTCCCTCTACCCAAGATGGGGGCAAGCAGCTAGGAATGGGTGTCAAAGAAGTCAGCCAAGTCCTGGGGAGCCTCCCTTCTGGACTCCCTTCTCACCCTGTGACTGTGATTGGAATAGACTGTGTGGTCTGAAGTAGGCCATGATGTTCGTTTTGGTTCCTCCTCCTTTCCCTCCTCCCCTCCCTCCTCTTCCTTCCCTTTCTTCCCCCCCCCCAACCCCTACTTGTGGTGCTTGGGATTGAGCACAAGGCCTAACTTGCTACTCAAGTGCTCTATACCACTAAACAGCTTTTTAGTTGGCATAGGTCACACTAAATTGCCAGAGATAACCTTGAACTTATGACTCTCCTGAATATCTGTGTTTATATGCCTATAAACCACCAAGCCCTATTTAATTTCTTTTGGAGTATATTGCTCACAACAATTTGTTTAAATGTCTAGACTCTTGTCATAGCAGGGACGGGCTATTATAAACATTATAATGAACATTATAAAAAAACAGAGAGCTATGTTACCGTCCTCTCCCGAGGTTTTTCTCACTGTGCTTAAGGCCATAGGCTGCCCGACAGCTGTCCAAACATGCCATTGCTATGACCTACCCTGGCCCAGCTCAGCCTCTTTCCCTAATTTCCACCTCTGTTCTCAGTCAAAGCACACATAGGCACACGCAGAGGAGATGTACAGGAGGAAGGTGGGGAGTACTGATTTTTAGTCTTAGCTGCACAGAGGAACCTGCTGGGTGAGTTATAAAGAATCCACTCCTGGAGGTTTTGATGGGCAGTACAGGTAAGAGCTGTAAAACTCTCTAGCTCAATTCGCTCTAAAGTCAAGTTGCAGACCTTGCTCGGGTTTTTAAAAGAAATTTGACTTTGAGTTTCTGCCTCTTTTTAACAGCTATGCTTATTAATCCCCCACTCTGAATTTTAAAACATTTTCACATATCTATTCTCCCACAGTACACACACACACACACACACACACACCTACCTCTAAGGCAGGCAAGGAACATGTTATTATAAAATTTGGTGTTTAGGACATTAGGTGATTCCTCCAAGGTTATACCAGTGACAGAGAAAGGCTTGCATCCCAAGTGTCTTGGGTCTCCCTTCCCAAGGTTGGTTCATGGTTAGCCTTTGTAGTGAAATGGGGGCCATGCGAGTGAAAGCCTATACTTTGTTTATCAATTATGTTACCCCGAATTCCTCTCTGGGAGCCTAGACATCCAGACTCTCACCTCAGCACTACCACAAGCCACTGTTTCACTTTGACCCAATAATTCCTCTCAGTTGTGTTTTGATTTTTGTTTTGTTTGTCCCCATCCATCTTTTAAATTTTGTCCATTGTGATGCAGTACGAACTGCCTGCCTCCCAGGGATGCTGTGGGAACAGTGATAGATAGGAACGTCCTTTATGTCTTTGGAAATAAAGATCCATGAACCAGAGAAATTGAATTTCTGTACCAGCTTTCTCTTGACATAGGAAGAATAAAAATCAGCACTTGCTTCCACATCAGACCCTTTTTTTGATCCCAAGGCGAGTTCGAGTCCTCTTGTCAAGCTGGGAAAGGTACTCTAATTAGCACTCTGGGTCAGAACACACTGCAAAGGCTGCTCAACGGCTGAACGCGGTTAAAGAGTTCCACTCGGTTGGGACAGACAGAAACCATCTAGCCACCTTGCTGAGGGCTTATGGGAGCACCTGTCATCACTCCTTCACAGAAAGGAGCAATAGGCCGAGGCTCCCAGTTGTTCTGGCATTCCGAGCATGTCCTGAACCATGGTAGAATTTATATACTGTAGCAGGCAAGGACTTGGGCATTGTGTTTGGACATATTTCAGAATCCCTTCCACATACCTGCCACCTCCCACCACGGGCCTAAAGTTCACCATCGTACACTTAGTACGTGGTGTAGTGATGCTTCGGGCAGGCAAGATAGCAAACACGCCATTTTACTTAGACACTCATAATATGTCCTGCACCCCTGCTACCTAATGTCCATAAATCCTCCCTCAATCCCTGAAACAATCCTTTGAGCTAATCACTGCCTCGTCTTCCAGATGAAAAACTATGGCACAGGAAATTAAGTATGTATTCCGAGTGATTCAGCTTGTAGGTAGTAGCAATGGGGATGGAATCCAGGTCTGGCTTGCTTTCACTGTCCTCTTTTGACACTGTAGATATCTCTTAAGTCACATACTGTATTGCTGATGACTTGGCTTTTGTGTTGCATCCCTACCCACTCCAGTGTTGGGGATCAAAAGAATGGCCACAAGCAGCCAGGCAAGCCTTCACCCTGAGCTGTAGCCCCCCTTCTCCGTTTGTGTCTTTCACAAGGAGGCCCTAGGTTCTTAGCGATTAGTAAGAGAAGTTCTCAGTCCTAAGACAGATTCTGCATTTTTTTTTTTTTAGTTTGTCTAAGATGTCTGGACAGCATTGCCACATGTCATTCTCTGCTCTAACACAGTTTTGCCAACTTACCACCCGCCCTGTTTCTCTCCCAGGTCCAGCGCAATCAACGTTGTGAAGATTTTACGAGTGCTGCGAGTCCTCAGGCCCCTCAGGGCCATCAACAGGGCCAAGGGGCTAAAGGTGAACTAAAGAGGTCTGGGTGGGCAGCCAGTAAACATTAGTGGAAGCTGTGTTGAAGGGTGGGCCACAGGACATACGGATAAGTGTCTCCCATGTTAGAGTCAGCCTCTTAACCAAAATGTTTCATAGGGTAAGCCTTAATACCGCAGGTGATGAGTCAATCTCTGAATTACCTGAGTCTTGGTAAGGTGAACATTGAGGCTGGGGTCCCTAATGTTTGCAAAGAATTTGCAAAGAATTTTACTGACTTAACACAGAGACAGAGAGGGGCCAAGATACTAGGAAGTTGTTGGTCCTACCTGGTCAGGATCTAGAGTTTATATAGCATTGACTGGTTTTCCCAACTGGCAATGAGTGACCTGCTGGGCAATTGAATTTCCCTAATCTGTTTCTTACGTGGCTCAACAAACAGATGTCCCAAGGCACACGCAGTACTCTTCCACGTAGCTAACATTCAAATAGGTAGGAGTCACGCAAGGGAGAAGCCATTTTTTAATTAACCATCACACTGTTTAGTCTTCCAATCCCTTGTCAAAGCAATAGACAAATAAATGAATAACAAAAGCAAAACAAACAAACAAAAAAACCCACAAATTTTTCCTTAAAGAGAATAAGATGTAGTATATTTTGGAGCCGAGTATGAGTAGTTATAACCTGGGTGTTCCAAACACCATGGTTTTGTTGTTGTTTAATGGCTTGTTTGTTTATTATTTTAATTGACATGCATCATAACAGGTTTTCTCCAAGCCGAATATTCATACTTCCTTCTGATTATCTTGCCTTCCCTCACTTCTCCCCCACCAGGCCCTGCCCCACTTCTCTGTTATATATCTTTGTCCTCAGTATTTCCTATTCCACTTTCCTATCTCATGTAACACTATCCTCCCAACCCCTGCCTTGAAGCCTCTTTTTTTCCCATTTCTTGTTGTATGGTGAGTACTCACATTTGCTCCTGCCTAAATACACACACTTAATTAAAAGCCAGGATCTGAGTGAGAGAACTTGCAACTATTGTCTTTGTACACCCATCTCGCATAATAGTGTTCTCCAGCTCCATTCATTTTCTTACAAATTTCATTAACTTTTCTTTACCACTGAAAACAATTCCACTGCCTACATGTACCGCATTTTCACTATCTGCTCATCTGCAAAGTCCATGTTTTCCTGTGGTGCTGGTTGTTTTCTTTTGAAAATGTTACCTATGTCTACAGTGCATCTCAGTCCTATCTAGCTCCTAACCCACCACCCCTGCTGGCATCTCCCATCTCCTTCCCAACTTCTTGTCTTCTTCTTAAATAACTCACAAACTAAGTCCGTATGTGCATGGCATGGGGTAGGGGCAGTAATCTGCTGGGGAATTGGCACCCTAACAATAGCCAGCCTCCACCCTTCAAAGAAAAATGGCTCCTCATCTCTCAGAAGCCATCAGCTGTCTTTAGCTCCTCAGCCTAGAGTCAGGGATCAGGAGTCCTTCCTCTTCCATACTGGAATTCTTAACTCTCTTGATAAAACTAGTGGGATTCATAAGGCTTCTTCATATATCCTTAACTTTGTTTAAGCTACTCAGTACCTCTGATTTTCCCAACTTCCATGCTCCCATCTCCATGTAAACCTTTAACGCTCAGTATCCTCCATGATCGCATTCTTTCATATGTGTTCTATTCTCCCGTTTTATTATGTTTTCTTTGGTTGCAAGGGCAGAGTTCCCATGTGGCTTCCTCACGCCCACTTCATTTCCCTGTCCCTTGTCTCCACAGCCCCATCACTGTAACACCTGTCTCCCTTCTCTACTTTCATCTATCCTCCTATAATCTATTTCCTCTTCCTAAGGGCCTTTCCCATCCACTACCCTATTGCTAGTTTCTGGACTTCCACATCTACTTCAGGATGAGTACACAAAATGCAAGTAGTAACAACCAACATATAAGAGAAAAATGCAATTTTTTTTTGTCCTGAGTTGGGGTTACCTCATTTAATATAATAGTTTCTGGATCCATCCGTTTCTCTACAAATTTCATGTTTTTATTTTCTTTACAGTGTACGTCTTTCTTTCACAAAGACGTATCTTAGTTGGGGTTCTGGTGTGGTGGTGAACACCATGACCAAAGGCAACTTGAGGAGGAAAGAGTTTGTTTCAGTTAATTTAGCCCATCATGAAGAGAAGTTGGGGTAGGAACTCAAGGCAGGCACTGAAGCAGAAACCATGGAGAAGTACTGCCTACTGGCTTGTTCTTCGTGGCTTTCTCAGCCTGCTTTTATTCAACTGAGGACTGCCTATTCAAGGATGTCCACCACCCCCACTGGGCTTTGCCCTCCCACATCAATCATCAGTCAAGAAAATATCCCACACACTTGCCTACAGAAACCTGATGGAAACATTTTCTCAATTGAGGTTCCTCTTCCCAGATAACCCTAGCTTGTGTCAAGTTAACAAACTACCCAGAACACTTGGCAGCTTCTTAATTTGATACACAGACATATCACTATTAGGCCATAAAGTTTTCCTTCTTGTTTGTCCCCAAGATGTCATGTTGATATTAATATCATAATGTAAGCCACAGTTTAGCTTTATGAGATATACCCATGGTCTTTAGAAATTTCAGCACTTGAAAGTCCAAAATCTGTTTAAAAAATCCAATGTTTCTTTAAAAGTTCCGCCTTTTAACTGTGGGCTCCTATAAGACTCAAGCTCAATTAGATACCTTCATATTCCAACAGGGAAGAGCCAGGTAACAGTCACAACCAAATAAAAGCAAAACTAGAATTAAGCAGTGTAAAAAGTTCAGTGCTTGATATGTGGACCTCACGCAGGATCTTCTGAGCTCCAAAGGGTCTGGACAGCTTTGCTTCTCCGGCTCACCTCTCAGGCTTAGGCTGGTCATCCCTTGGCACTGCTGTCTCCAGTATGCTGGGGTTCCCACTGCAACACTTTTACCAATGGCCTCTCCAGATTTATCCTCCGGGCCTATAACCCTTCTTCCTAGAGCCAACCCTCCACTGTTCTCCATGACCCCTTCTTGCCTTCAAAACCAGTACCACCGTCAGCAGCCAGCCTGAGAAGTAACATTAGCCATCTTTGGACCGCAGCTTCCGTGCGCCGACCCTGAGAAAATAATCACAGAAGATTCACCTCAGTGATGCTGGTCTCTTTGTAATCCCTGCTAATGTCTCAGCTCCAGATAACCAGCATTGGTTGTCCCACCAAAACAAAGGCTCCACTTTAATGGTGCTTGTTAATCATGGCTGATTCATCAGCTCCATCTGACTGGATCACAGGTTCTTAATTCAAAATATCATGCAAACATCCCTGGTAGTCTTTTCTTTCCTTTGAAGCATCATGAGCCAGGCCTCCATTGCCTGCACCTCTTTCAGCATTCCTGTCATCCAAGCTCCTATAACAGCCCAGGAAAGCTATGAGCACTGAATGGTTTTTCCAGCCCAAAGTTTCAAAGTCCTTCTACAATCATCCTAAAAACAACACGGTCAGGTCTGTCACAGAGAAAGTCCATGAACCTGGTATAAGTTTTTGTCCTAGTTAGGTTCCTGTTGCTTTGATAAACACTATGGCTGTATTTATCAGGGCTCTTTAAAGGAACAGGAGTGGTAGAATTATGTATACAGGATTTATTAGAGTGCCGTATGGACTATGGCCTAAGCAGTCCAACAATAGCTGTCTTTCAATGTGAAGGCTGAGGAACCTGTAACTTTTCAGTCCAGGAGAGTGAACATCTCAGCAGTCTTACTCTTCTGCTGGAGTCCCAGGGAAGTCCTAGAGGGCCGCTGGTTTTCGTTCTACATTGGATCCCAAAGAAGCAGGTTCTATCACCAGGAAAGGAATGCCACAGGAAAAAGATAGATGAGCTTACAAGTGGGGAGAGACACAGAGAAAGAGAGGATGCAGGCAAAAAGTAAAAGTTTCCTTTTCCTCATCCTTTTAAGTAGGCTGCCACCAGAAGATGTGGGCCAGATTTAGAGGAGATATTCCCACCTCAAATGATGCAATCAAGAAAATCCTTCATAGGTATGCCCAGCTACTTGGGTTTTAATTGATTCCAGATATAGTCAAGTTGACAACCCAGATTAGCTATCACAGTGACCAGAAACAACTTGGAGACAAAAAAAAAAAAAAAAAAAAAAAAAAAGGTTTACTCCTGCTTACATAATCGAAGGAAGGCAGGGCAGGAACCAGAAGGCAGGAACCGAAACAGATGCCGTGGATGGTGCTGTTCACTGGCTTGCTTTTCATGGTTGCTTGGCCTACTTTCTTATACAACTCAGGGCTATCTGCCTAGAGTGGCTCTGCCCGCAGTAGTCAGAGCCATTCCATATAAACCATGAATCCCACGTTATAGGCAACCTGATGGAAGTATTTTCTTCGTTGAGGTTCACCTTTCCAGATAAGTCTAGCTTGGGTCAAGTCGGGGAAAACAAAAACAAAACCAAAAACAAACAAACAAACAAAAAACAACAACAAACAGGACAAGATGGTTCATTGATTTGTTTGATTTTAATGGGACACCCAATATTTATTTTATAAAGAGACAGTGAATGCTTTCCAAAATGGGTAAGAAGGCCTTAGATTTCAGATAGCCAACAACAGTGTCACAGGCTAAGGAAGCAAAAGCTTTAGTTTTTTTAACAGCTAGTGTAATATGTTTCCTTACCTACCAGTCTAGAAGACTGAAGATCACAGGCAGGAGGATGGAATTTTGTACAATAGGTCAAACTTTTAAAAAATAGATTTAAATGTTCTCAACTTAAATAAGTTTTTAAGTAGTTATTATGTGATTTAAATAAGTAGTTATTATGTGATTTAATGGGCATGTCTCCAAGTAGAAATATTTTTTTTCAGATAATTCTTTTTAAAATAATTTTTCCTACTATTGAGGCAGTGGCCAACCAGGTAAAGAAGGTTTTACTCCATCAGCAAACACATACTCTTAACATTTTAGCATCTGGGTGAAATCGAATCACCAAGTTTTAAATAGTTTAGTTGATAA